GGAGCAAGGACGCTACTAGGGGCTCCTGACATCGCTACTAGGAGCATTCTTACTAGTAGTAGCAAGCCACCTGCCTTGTATGGGCGCCATTTGCCCATCACATCCTCCATCCTCCCCATTTGGCCGCCCCTTTAGGCCGTGGTGGTGAAGGCCTTCGATGATGGCTCGAAAGCCCGCTCCTTTGGCCATTGCCTCGTTGCTGGCATTGACCGAGCTCCTTTGAAAGTCACCAGGCCAGGCCTTGCACCATGTTGGATGAATGTGCAGGAGGTCTTGTTCTATCGCCATCATATTCTACTAGTGGCAAGTGGTCTACCCTGAAGCTGTTTTCGGTCATGTGCACAAAAACCCGCAGTTTGCGTGCCTCGTTGTCACCAGCATATTTAGGATGTGTTTGATGAACTTGCCTGATGTTGTAGAGGTCACCGTGTGCCCCGCCACATGTTGCATTTGCATCCATCCCCTGCGTAAGCCAGGGGTATGTCCAAGAAGAAGATTACAAAGAGAACCAAGGTCAAGTGAAGACCTTAGTGTGCGGAAGCGGTCAGTAAGAACAAACTTTGTACTCAACAGGATGATTGCTTGCACATGCCACTAGACCAACCACAAGACAACACATTCCTTGGTTTGCCCTATTTCTGCTGACGGACCAGTCGGCCTTCAGAGAAGCTGGAATGATCCTCTGGACATCAGCTGAGTAGCGCCAAAAATCCTGAGGCCTTTCGTGAAGTATGTCAACTACAACCACGTCATGCCAACCCGATACCAGGCGGGTCAGACCTCCACAGCATTGTCAGTCCGAACTCTGTGGCCTAGCCTGACCAAGTCAAACATTCACAGAACTCTCCGGAGTTCTTGTTCAGCTGGTACCTGATGAACTCCCGCAACGCTGCTTCATTGCTCCTTTCTTTGATGTCCTTTGGTTTGTTCATGTTTGCATTTTTGTTCTGCCCGGCTCTGTGTTTCTCACGGGCTTTGGAGTTGTTTGGCATCAAGGTGAGGTGGCCAAAGGGGGAGTGCATGGCGAACTGAGATGCCTGGGTGTGTCTTCCTCACTTTTCTTGCTCCAAGAGGAATTTGCTTTCTTTCCCCCATTGCCTTGGTGCTTGGACTCGGGACGCAGCGGCCCAAGCGATAGAGAATCAATGACCAACCATGTAATATAACATGTAAAAAAAATCAGCGGCCCCACCGGCCCCACCGTGTCCACCGACACTTCGGTCCAGCCGGCCCTCGGTCAAACAGGTAGAAGTGGTGGTCCAACCGGTCCAATCGGAGCCCGTCGACACGAGTGAAAGGTGCCGAACGAGCTGACACCCGCGAGCATTGCCACGGATCAGCAGCAGCTTGGTTGATTTCACGAGTCAGATGCAGAAGAACAGGAGTCCAACAGGTGCAGTGAACTTTTGGAGCAAATCTAATTGTTTGTGGCATTATGCATGGCCATGGCTGTTTAGCTTAATAGCTTCATTCACTTACACTTGGTGCCAACCCTGGCCTAGAAAGGTGGCACCGTGCTCCACGGGATGGCGAAACACATCGAAACACCGCTCCTTCGCGGCTTTAGGATGGATACTCTTGACGGCCGAAAAGAGGCCCGCAAGTTCGCCAAGAGCCGCTCAGCTGAGTGGAAGCCGCGTAGAGCGCTGAGCCCAGTGGTGTTGGAGCAAGTGGTCGGTTAAGAATTGGTGACCACTTACACTGCCGAAAGCTAACGTAGACCCTGACAATGGTCCCATGGAAGACTATTTTCCTCTACCAACCCAGGGGTTTTCAGGTTCCATGGGATCCTTTTCCATGACGATCTTCTATCGTTCGGGGGAATCACCGGTCAGCGGAGGTCTGTTCCAGGAGAAGTTCCAAGCACCGCCGCCGGACAAGTCGGGTCGCCCCTCCAAGGACGGGCTCGGGGGGTCGGGTAGCTCGGGGAGATGGTGGCGGGGTCGGAGTCGTGGACGCACAGGTCCTCTCCCTTCGAGCCTTCGGGTGTGACATTCAGATCTGAGATCAGAGGGCGCCAACAGCGTGCCCACGGGAACGCCGAGGGCGGCAGGTTAATCGGTCTTGCTTGGGAGGATGCGCGCGTAGATGAACAATCTATAATGATCGGGAACATTTCTTACCAGATTTGGTTTGCGCATTTGAGGGCTGTCACTCCTCCCAAACCTGTCACAACATGCAAGCAGTCCACAAACTGAACTTGACGTGTGGCAACCGAGGTGTTTGTTGGTTTGAACCTGCTGTTGAGGGGAGACATCCGGCACCGCCTGCGTTTGGAATTGCACTGACCGCTTTGGACTCCAGTTGGTGCAGAGCTTCTTCACCGAATGCATATCTTTCCCGTCACTCACCTTTTCACTGACCGACTCACCCATTCACCCACAGAAACTCTCTCCCTGTGTGTGCACATTATGCTACAATTGGTAGATTCCAAGTATAATATACTGTATATAGTTAAATAAATACGTATATTACATATATATTAACGTCGGTATATAGTTGTATTTTGTGATATCTATCTATATATATATATAAGAAATTGCCACGAAAGTTAGTTCTTTCAGATCTTGGTTCTTTCATTTGGCGGGCCTGGCATCTGGGTGCTTTTTTCCACAAGCACATGTCATCGATACTGTCATCGATTGCTATCTACAAAGCCATTCGCTTCAGCTTTGACCTTGGAAAACCAGTATGCATTATCACTATTGGTCCACTTCCAGTAGCGACGGCCAGTGGGTGTTTCCAACTGATCAACCCGCCATCCATTTTGTTTAAGGATGGTTTGGACGATAGTGCCAACCCTTTTTTTGGGTGGCAGGTTTCTTCAAAACATTCTTAGGTTCGATCTCAGGCAGGGCTGGCTTCTCACGACGTGCCACTGCATGTTCTTCTTCTGGCTCTGGGTCCTGGACTTCTGGATCACTCTCTTTGACCTCCTCCTCCTCTCCCTCTTTCTCACTACCATCACCTGGAGGCATCTCAGCAGCTTTGCCTCCATCAACCTTCAGTTCCTCCTCAGGTGTTTCTTCAGGCTTCTCCTCAGGCTTCTCCTCAGGCTTCTGGGCTGCTGGGCGCTTCATGGGTCTTGGTGCACTTGCCGATGCCGGTCTCTTCTTCGGAGTTGCTGCTGCAGCTGCAGGTTTCTTCATCCTACCTGAGCGGGCGAATATCCAAAGCCCTTTAACATGCGGACAGGGATATTTAAAGAATCTATGGACCCTTTGGACGTCTATGTATAGACAACGAATCATTAATATCACCATCAAAAGACCCAGAGTATCTCAGAATCTAGCAATCTCAAACAAGGGGCCCTTTGCTTCTCTCCCTTTGCGCTTGTCTTGCTCGGTCACCTCACCCTCCGGAGTCTGCTTCGGTGATGCTTTTGGCGATGGGGTTGCAATCATGACACCACCAGAGCTCTCACCTCCCCCAGACTTCCTCCCTAAACCAGTGCTAACGCTGTGAGAGCGCCGAACAGCGCCACCATCACCACGCTGGCCCTGGTGAAAACTCTCGAGAATCCGCCCTGCGATGTCCACTCCGATTTGGTCCATGGCGTTGGCACCTTTGTTTGGTGGATGCCAGATTCAAAATCCTTGATCCAGTAGCAACCATTGCAATCTTGAATGCTTATTTTTGAATATTATATAGTCTGAAGATTCTCAAAGTCACGTCTCGACATTCGCAGTACCAGTAATTACCAGTGACTCGATTGCATCGACTTTACCGACTGACCATGTTCGAGATGTTGCTTCCAATGGTTGACTTATTCTGAATTAGGTGGGTTACGAGGCTTTCATAAACTGCAATGCTGACAGTCAAGATATGGCTGCCCGACTGTTTTTCCGCATTGGTTTCAACTCGCTATATAGGTGCCCAAAAAGAAACGAATGATGCATAGGCCTGAGACCGGTTGTCAGCCCCTACATAGTCCTAGCTACTGTATTCACATCATCTAGCATTGCACTAACAGCTTGAAACCTGTAAAAAAATTTGAGGGACTACTTCAGCATGGTTAAGTAAGGTCTGGAGGTCGTTCAAGGCCATCTCCAGCTCGTTGAGTACTATCGCCTTCATGTCTGGAATCCGGAGCATACTGGTAAGCTTGGTTCTCAGTGGGGCAGGCGTGGTTGGTCGTGGCAGCGAGATGATGTCGGTAGCCTCAACCCACGCACTGGTCTTCAGGACCCCCGAACCAAGCACACCTTCTCCATCCATTTGGACCTTGAAACTCATGTTCGCTAACATGGTCAAGATCTGCATAGTTTCCAAACACATTTGGAGCTGGGTAGGGCTATCTGCCCATACCACTGCCAGCTTCTTCAAGAGCTCCCTGATGTTCTCATGTTGGAACTGGCTGCGGTTGCTCATTTCAGCAATGCCATAAACCGCCAGGAAACCCGCAAAAAGCTTCTCAACATCCTCAAATGTGAATGGTGTGATCTTTGGAGCCAGCGCCATCACACCCACGATGTCCGGTGGTAAGAGTGCCAGCCAGGGAATTAGAATCGAAGATACTTGAGCATCATATTCCGATGACCCGGTTCATGAATGCAAACGATTTTCTCAACAGATTTTCCATGGATGGTTTCACTTTATCTCAAGCAAACCAAGATCCCTTGATGAAGTAACTGGCTGGTCACTGGCCCTTTGAGTTTAATCCTTTCACGCTGCTGCCGATCAATGATTTTTCCAGCAGACCTTGGAATGTCGCCGCAGATCCTGACTGATTCCACACTCAGTCTAGGCTAACTAGGCCAGGGCTCCAGGCCCTCTGGATTGTTCCCGCTCACCGTTTAGGTAGCACCGCGACGTAACACAGAATCATACCATAAACAGTAATAGCAAATGATATCTTTGCAATCAAAGTTAAAGATTCTGATCAAGAGATGCAACCAACAGTGATAAGTAGGTGATAAGTTTGGATGTGAGGCGGGTTGCTACAAAGCATCAACGGTGTTCCCACACATGGTATGATTTACCAACATCCCTCATCCAAAATTGTTTCTCAGGGCGAGGAGACACTGACTGCCGAAACAAGGGGATGCCTTTGAACAAGTTTCGAATTGGGGAATGAAGTCAATCTTTTACATCATCTCAACCTATATGTCGGATTCAATCTATCCATATCTATCCCAAATACCGAGAAAACAATGATACAGCAGCCAGCGATGCTCATGTCAGCTTCAGAGGTTTGTCCTTCTGAAGGGTCAACGCACGCCCAGTGATCATGTAGGGACGCTGGATCTTAAAATTTTGACCAACTCGCTCAAAGCGATAGCGGCACACTGTCAAAGCCAGGTTGCGAGGCAAGGTTGGGCCCACACACTTCGAAAAAAGATTCTTCGAAGTCACACGCTCTGAGGCACCTTCAGCAAAAGAGCGCGGATCCCTCAAGCATCGAAAGGTCATTGGTGCTTTGATGGACACTTCAAAGCCATCCTCGCCAGCTTGGACCGCTGCCTTCCGCTTCACCTCGAGGAAAGAGACGCGGTGCGATGTAATGTTCTTCTCCGTTTCCGCACGAATGAGCATCTTGTACAGGGTCATGGTGGTGCATCCCTGCGCCTCTGATGAAAAAGACGTTTCGTCAAGCTGGAACAGACTCTTGTCCCCATGGGGTAAGGCAAAAGGAATCCCAGGCTCTGAGCATTCAGCTTCCGCCAGCCATTGGCCTGTTCCGAAGCCGCCCAAGACGACGTGCTTTCCAACTGATTTGCCCTGGCTGCTGACCAACCAGACAGACTTGTCCTTGCACAGAATGAGCTCCACCTGAGGGCATTCACTTGGAACCCGATGCTCAATGCCAGGGTCTTCCTGCAGCTTGGCGATGGATTCCACCTCTACTGTGGCTGGTGTCGGCTCCTGTTCAGTCTGTGGGGCAGCTGACTCACTGGTCGAAGAAGCAGCTACCACGCTCGATTGACCGACTAGATCAAGATGTCTTTGACGAAGGCCCTCGTACTCGGTGAGGAGTGCCCCGGTCTGCGCAGACCAGAACCTGGGCAAGATCACCCAAAGTCCAAGTCCAATCAAAACAAGAAAACAAACTTAAGCCCAGAATGCCTTGAAGCTTCAAGGCTTTCAAGTCCAATAATTATCAAAACAGACTTGGAGATTTACCCTGTTGAAGCCCAGATAGCCCCGACTAAAAACAATATGGCGAGGAGCTTGTGTTCGTCGGTCTTTATCAACATTCGATCACCCAGACGCTCGAGAACCTCAAACTGCAAGGTGTCCAGGTTTCCCATCCTGGCTCCAGCGCCCGGGATGCTGGCGATTTCCTGCTCACTCAACTCCGGGGCATCCATGCTGAAGCGGTGGCCACCGTGCTCGAACCTTCGCTGGGTCCAACCATCAGTGATATCTCGGGTCAGCCTGGCTTGGCCAAACAGATCTTTGCTGATCCACTGCACCGAGTGGTAGTAGAGCTGATCGGTTGTGAAGCCACCCTTGAGCTCCTGGTTGGCCAGACGCATTTCAAAAACCTCGGTCGGCGACGGATGACAGTCAGTGAACTCATTGAACATCATTGAACCATTGGATCAGACCTGGTTTTGATGGTAATACGAGATTGGGCTGATTAAAGTCAGTCTAAGGATACCATAGGATACCACCATGTACAAAAACTGATAGTTACAATTGGGAGCTCAATCTTACTGGAGTGAATAGGTTCTTGAGATTGGTTTCGAGATGTTTCGAGGATCATGGTCTATCATACTTTTGAGGGTTTTCTCATATAATAGGAATCTAGGGAATCTAGGGTCTCTTGGATTACAAAACCACGCCCAATGAACGGATCTCCTGCTTTTTGTTTTTTTCCCAACAAGTTTCGTGCGATGTCTCTTTAATTAAGGACGCCACATTCTGACCCAGTTCAAAGAAAGCTATCCTCCGAT